ATAAAATGATATTTAAATTTATTGATGAGTATGATTTATCAAATAATAAAATTGAAAATGATTGCAAGGAAACATTTTTAAACTACATAAAACAAAGAAACCAAGAATTGAAAATCATGATTGATAAACTATGTGATTATATTAAGGATGAACAGAAGAACAATATAATAGGTAAATTAATATATGGTGATGTGATAAATGATATTAAAAGTGTTTTAGGAAACTGGGGCATAGATTTTTGCATTTATGATTTTGCTGATAGAAAATATCCATTTAAAAATAATAAACAGAACTTTAAACAAATGCCAACGATTACAAAGGAATATTTAAATACTAATGACTTTGATTAAAACCATAATATAATAATAACATGTAAAATTTTATATGTTATAATTATACTGTACTTATAGTTTGTAAAGATTGAAATATTTTATTTTTCCTTGATTTGGCTGACTCTTTCAAAGTGCGTTGTTTGAACTTGGTATGCTCTTTTGATTTTTTCGTGCTTTGGCTGTTTGTATTTTATTTTGTTTGATACTCTTCTGATATTTTTTGTTGGTATGTTGCTTTGTTTTTGTTGATGTGTGTTTTTGAGTTTGTGTTCTTTGATGGTTTTTATTTTTGCTGTTTTGTTGGTATGCTTGTTTGAATTATTTAATGTTTTATGCTTTGATTAAATATTTTGTTGGGGGCTGTTCTGGTTTTTGAGTTGCTTGGTGGTTCTTATCTTGTTTTCTGTGAATTTTGCTGATTTGTGTTTATGCTGTTTGATTATTTGGTTTTATTCTTTGAAGTGCCGTTTTATGTATTTTAGGGGAAGGGGGGAGGGGGGAGAGGGGGGGAGGGGGGAGAGGGGGGGGTATTGGGGGTCAGGGGGTTTGCCATGCGGCCAGGGGTCAAAACCCAAAAAAAAATCCCGGTGAACATCGAAATAGGTGGCAAATGGATGTTCATCCACCCCAAAATGGGATCGCCATAGGTTCTGCCCCACATCAAAATCCGAATCGTACCAGGGGTTACATCCCAACCCAACCACTAAAATGGGTCCAAGGGTGTCCAGTGGGGGTATTGGGTGGGGGCGGGGGGGAGCCGGGGGCGGGGGGGTTGCCACGTGGCCGTGGTTGTCAAAACGGGATGGGTTTGGGGGGGGTGGGGGGGAGGGGGGGGAGGGGGAGTGGCTCTAGGGGTTGAGTCCTTTTCCTTCTTTTCAGCCATTGTTCTTTTTGAAAACCGGCCGTTTCCCTGGGTTTTCGGAGGTTTTCTAGAAAGAAACATCCCTGGAAAGAATGTGGCCATGGGTCAAAATCCAAATCGTACCCCCAGTGAACATCCCAATCCAACCACTAAAATACGTTCTGAAATGGGAGGTGCGGCTACCCCAAAATGGTACCATTGGTTTTGGCCCACAGCCATGTCCGTTTTCGCAGAACTCCGATCGGTAGCTCCTGCGAGCTGCTAGGGCTCCCCGATTTGCAAAAGGAAACAATTTGGAGACCGGGATACCCCGGGCTCCGGAAGGTCCTGCTCCCTTCCAACCGCCAGCTGGGAGTATGCTTGCGCGGGTCTATGGTATGTTTCCGCGGTCGCTACAGACGAAAGTCACCTGACACCACGCTGGCCACGACTTCGGCTCAAGTGGTTGGCATTTCCTTCTGGATCTGTGGTTTCCCCTTTCGGTGGGGGGGATTTTTCTCCATTGAAGGCTCCAATTGGAACAGCTCGGATGAATGTGAGGAGATTCATGACATCGCCGCGGAGCAAATGATGACCTGGAATCAGTCGGAAACAGAGGTCTGGAGAATCACCCAGTAACAAGAAAAAGAGAAACGGAATATACCGTATACCCATGTTTGGGGAGCAACAAAGGTTCTGACTTTGAAAGACCCACCCAACAAGAAAAAGAGAAACACCCATTTTTGGGGCATGAACAAAGGCTTTTGTTTGAAACCTCCCCATTCACTTATTTTGGGGGGGGTTCTAGTTGGAGCGAAACTTCGGTCCATCTCTCCGCCTTTTCGGCCGCCAGAGCAGGCGCCGCTCCGCCCGCCGCAGCAGCCCAGCCAGCCAGCAAATCCAGGGCCTTGGAGTCGCCCTAAATTTGGAGAGGCTTGTGCAGGGTTCCACTTGTTGAGTACCCCAGGGCAGATTCAAACCAAGGAGTGGTTTACCTTGAGATAGTCAAAAAGTGGAACCCTGTGTGTGTGTAGGTGTCGTCTTCTTCGGGGGGCCCACAAAGAAACGGCTTCGGTTTTGAGTGGTTGGTGGGGGTGTTTTTTTTTGAGGGGCCCAAACAGAAATGGTAGTGGTTCCTCTGTGAGTGGTTGGTGGATGTGTCTCTCTTTTTTGTAGGAGACCCAAAAAGACATGGCTTGGGATTTTCCTGTTGGTCTTTCCTTTAAAATCACCAAACAAGGGGGTGCCCTCAAAAGAAGAGACACAAACCCTGGTAGCACTTGCCGTGAAGTGGTCGGCCATCGCCATTCACAAATACCGGGCAGAAAATGGTCCACGAGTAATGAAGTTGGCAAAGATCGTTTGTGGCACACGCAAATTTCTCGCAACAGGCAAGCCCTCCACGCAACAGGAGCCTGACGAACCCGGTTCTACCTCCGAAGGAACCGAGCCACTGTCCAAGGTCCAGGAGATGGGACGAGACTTTGACGGGCGCCCGAACAGAAACAAGAAGCCGAACGAGCAGAGAGGATTGGGGCGAGTAACTTCTGATGCACTGAGAAGGGAAGGGCGCCGTGCTTGTATAGTGGAGAAAGCGAGATAGAGGACACCGTGGAAAAAGAAGGAACAGGATCAAAATGGCAAAGACTGTCACAAGCAAAGACTGACCACCTGATCGAAACTCAAAGACAAGAGTGGCAGGGCAACAACCGATCAAGAGGACACTGGACAGACAGGCCCTAGACCGGTCAAACCCAATCTCCCGAACAGAAGTGCTTCAAAGCTCCTCCTGCAACCCTCCCCCAGCCCTCAACTCAAACCATTGCCCTCCCGCCACTTGAGTCGCAACCAACACCTGGTCTTGAACATGCACAAACCAATATAAACCACTTGAAAAGGCGGCCGCACCTACTTGTGGTTGGGACCCAACCAAACCTTCACTTGAGTAAAAATCAAAGCCCGGTATTAGAATGGTTGACCCAGAACCATGTAAGGAAATACAAAGGCGGCCGCAACTTTTGATGGCTGGGATTGGGTTTTGATTGTGGATCACTTCGGGTTTCGACCGTTGGACGTCCCGAGCCACCAGCGCCAAGACGTGAGGAGGAACCGCACCTCGCTGGGCCACGGCTTCTCCACCTCCGAGACGAAGGAGCTCTGCGGCGCCGACACCAGCCTTGCACTCGGAGTCATTGGACCCTCCTTGGGGCCCCCAAAGGAGCCGAACTGCCTGATGAATAAGGCCCTAAGCGCTGATCACCCGCCCCCATACCCCCCCCCCCCTTGGGGGGTCCATGACTCTCCGAGCAAAAAAAAAAAAAAAACTCCATACGTTGGCCACCGCCAAAGCCAAGTAGAAGGCCCCAGGCTCAGAAGTGGCGTGGGGGTCTCTCCCAAACCGCTGCGAGCAAAGTGAGATTCTCCAAACTGGCCTCATTGTTTTACCACGATCAAAGTCACCCCCGTTCAGTGGTGGGCTAAAGGGAAACAACCAACTTGTCTGACTTTGATCACTCCCAGAAACAGGCAAAGTAATGACCCCAGCTAAAAGGTAGGGGAGGTCTCTCTCAAACTGCGTTAACAACCTCCTCACCTCACAAATAAATGTGGGTCAAAAAAATCGGGTCACCCCCAAAAAATGGAACGCTCCCCCGGTTTCCGCGCAAACGCTCCCGCGCGCCACGCTCCCGCCTCGCCAGCTTGAAGCCCAGCGCCAGCAGTCCGCAGGGGGCCCGCGACCACACGCTCTCCTTCTGCCGCACCAAAGGGTCCGCGCTGTCGAACAGCGCTGAGATGGAGCCGCCTCAGACGAGGCGAGAAGCGCGACGAGAAGCTTCGAACATAATCTCCTCTGCCAAAAAAAAGAGCCGGGGAGAGCGAGCTGTTTTGCGAGAAGAGCAATTGGTAAAAAAGAAAAAAGGAAGAGAAAAAAAGCGAGGCGCACAGGGTTTGAAATGCAAGCTCAGGGAAAAAAGTCAAGCGCGTGGCAAATAAGTCACATGTCAGAAAGTTCAGATCCGATTGAGATCATATGCCCTGTGAGCGTTGCCGGAGCGGCTGCAACTGGCACTCACAAGGGCGCTTCTTTTGCTGCTGCACTTGTGACGATGTATTCCTAGCATGAGACCGGCAGCAAAAGAAGACCCAATCCCAGGAGAGAAGGAGCTACAACCAGGCTGACAAGGGCTTCCCAGCTGACAAGCAAGAGCCAGGCTGTTTGCATTGTACCTGGAATAAGGAGTACATGTGAATGGGTCAGCTTCAAAGCTGCTCAGACCATTTGAACCACGCTTCCACAAGACACAGGTACTTCCGGCCAAACAATCTTCAACATGAGTGTCTCTCAAAATTTAGGGCGCCCCATAATAGTTGGATTTCAAAAAAGGGGGGTTCCTTAAAAAAAAAAAAAAAAAAAAAAAAAAAAAAAAAAAAAACGCACCCACATGCCTATTCCTGTTGTAATCCTTGCATTTCAGCCTTCGATGATTCGTGGCTCGGAGTTGGAAATGTTGACTCTTGCGCCAGCTCTGGTGGTCATTTAAACGCGACTGGAAGATTGATTCAAAGTAGAAGCGCTACTGTGGATGGACGAAATCCTGCACCACTGTGAAACCATGAGAAACCGTTGTTTGTTGGCTTTGACACGGGAATCATCATTCCAGGGTTTCTTAGGTGGTGCGAAATGGATTTCGTCCATCCACAGTATGACATGCTGAACATGCACTGCCCGGACACTGGCAGCTCTACATAACTCATCTGGATATGTCAATCCGGTCAGTCCCGATTGTCCTTGCCCGCGCAGCAAAGGCTCCAGTGAACATTTTGTTCTCGCGCACGTCCACTGCGTATGGCTTGACTCCGAGCTTGCAAAAAAAAGTGCCTCAAACTAAGACCCACTAGCAAGCTGGCTCGATCTTTGTTCAAAGCCATCTGCATTGTCTAGAAGCAAATTCAAAGGGTATTGGGATAGAGCAGCAGGGTGCCCATCAAACATGACTCGGAGAGTCCATGGCATTTGCCATGGTCTCGCATCCCGAATTATTGTCGTCCACTATGAAAGGATGATATGCCCGACTGGTTCCCTTTTGGTCCGTCATCTGCACTGCGTTCGCATCTGTATCCTCATGAACATCCACTGCACCTCCCAGAGTCAGCCAGACCGAAAAGGAGCACAGGATCTGCATGGCGAATGGCATCAGAACGATGGCCGAAGAAACCTCCGGCCGGTGAGTTGCTTGCGTTCGGACTTGCTGGGTCCACCTACAGGTCCACCCCAATCATCATGTTGTCCGCTCCCCCCCCAAAAGAAAACCAAGGCCGGCCCTCTGACAGTTGCTTGGTCGAAAAAGAAAAATCCGAAAGGTGTTTTTGCTTTTCTGCGGCCGCAAGATCCAAGTCTTCGCGAACTCAACGTCCATTGTGTCCGTGTCCGACTGGCTGTGACTCAAAAAACAGGAACCAAAAAAAACACCTTGGTATATGGAGACAAGCCTGCGTAACCCCAGCTGTTAAATTTTGAGCCACACCCAACCAACCACACACCTGGAGGCCCCTACATCACAGGCCCCCAGTGAGCTGCCGAGCAGCTTGGAAGCCGAAGCTTTGGACCAACCAGCCGCCCAAGATAGGACCAATGGCCTCGCCGATCGACATCATCCTGAGGCATCCGCGCGACATGGCTGTGGGTCAAAACCAATGATGCCGTTCTGGGGTAGGTGCACCACCCATTTTAGGACCTATTTTACTGGGGATTGGGATGTTCAGTGGGGGTACGGGCTTTTGACCCATGGCCACATTGGGCCGAAGAAACAGAAACACGAAGAGGAAAACGAGCGTCGTGGAAAGGACCACAACATCCAGCCTTGCCAGACACAGCAAAAAGGATGAACAATGGAAGAACGCCAAAAACATGTTGTGCGGTAGACCTCTACGTCCAAAGCGATGAAAAGGCCCAAATCACGCCTTGGGTGCCCTCTAGGATAGTTTCCTCGCCTTGTTGGCACGCAACTTGCTGATCGAGTATTGGCTGGCAACATCTTGGAACGATTTCCCATGTAATCCGGAAAACAAACCCAGCGCATGCTCACTTGAAACAAATAATGGTGACCCAGGATGAATAAACCCGTCCCACTATTGGCGGGGTGCTCCCTCCAAAAGTGGTCTGAATCCCCACTAAAAGGGGACACCCCCCACTCAAAATCAACCAGGGGTTTAACTTCACCCGGGTTAACATTACGACTAAAAAAGCTAGGTCCCCTAAAACTATGGGTGTCCTTTTTTGGGGACCCCCCCGAAGCTATTATATTCGTCCCCAAAGGTTTAACTTCATCCGGGGTTAACATCACTTACTCGCATCGCCCTCGAGCGGTAGGGCAAAGCGGCGCCATGAAGAGGGTCGTGGTCTGCTCGATGGCAGCGGTGCCCAGATGTCGCACGCCGTGCTGCATGATGGGCAGCGAGGGAATGAAAAGTAACCTCGGTGGCGAAATCTGCGTAGCCCTGCGAAAAGTGACTCACCTTTAGCGGCGTAATACGGAAAACCCATGAGTTGGCAAAAAAGTTAAAGTCCTAACATCCAAGCAAAATGCGCCAAAGTAACGCAGGCCCGGCAGAACCTATCATCAACGACATTGCTTCATACAGCAAAAGACCTACATGTGCTTGTCCGCGGATCGAGAAGTCGTCAGGATTCAGCGGGATAAGAATGCAGGCGGTCGTGCAGCATGTTGCGCCACAAAGAATGAGCACCTCAAAGCTGACTGCCCGGTGTCTCATCAACTGTCCACAAAAGTACGAGAAGGAGAGGTAGCTCAGGCTTCGAAGTGCAAAGAGGACACTGATGGTGGTGGTGCCCTCCAATTCAAGATGATCTTTCAGGAACGGAGACAGCGTAGTATCATAGAACCCAACTTGGAAGAAGTTCAGGAAGACCGCGAACATGCCAAGCAATACCCGTGGCCCCAGCAGCGCGCTCCACCGCACCGGAACCTCGCAGGTCCCCGCCACCTCCAATCCGCGCAGCTCTCCGGAGGTTCCTCCGGAGCCTTCACACCGGCCGAAGCAGAGAAAACCGATAGACGCCGTGACAGCCTGCAGCCCAGCAACCAGCAGGAAGGGAGCCGCGAAGCCCGCGGCATCGTAGATCACCCCGCCAAAGAGGCGGCCCAGTTGCGCGCCGACGCCCACAAAGACTTCCACGAGAGCCACGATGTAGGACACGTCTTTGGGGAAAATGCGAGTGATGAGCGTGGTGTTGGCGCCCATGTAGTAGGCGAACGCGATGCCTTGCAGCATCCGGAAAATCACGATCGCCAAGGTGGCACTGCGCGGACCAACTATGCCCAGCAAGTGTGCAGCACTTGACATGATGGCATTGCTGCCTGCCATGAGCATGAGGGCCAAGCAGTGGGCACGCATAATCTGTTTAGTTTTCATGAGGCGGCTGGTGGCAAAGGGTGTTGCAAGCAAGGCTGCCATGGGGTAGGCGGCAGTTGCGACTCCAACCATGCTCTCTCGCTGCTTGAACTGCTCGATCATCACGATTGGCAAAAAGGGGCCTGCACACAAACACAAACAGGAGACAATGAAGCTTGGCCAAACGAACAAAACTTCAGATTTGCGTGGGCAGCATACCCTCTTGAGGTGGAACTCACCACCTCACAATGTGTTTTTTGGGCTTGCAATTGTTGCCCTGGACATAGCCTGGCAGAGCTCGGGCGGCAAATGCAAAGATAGTCACAACACTGATGTAGAGCATGAGGCGCCTTGCCCGCTCTGCATCGAACGGCCCCCCTTGGCCAAGGACATCCCTGTGCGCCATGGGCCTGGAACGTATTGGGGCCCACTACATAGACCAGGAGCCACCGAAATTACAAATGCACAAGCGTCATAAGTTGTGAATCAGCGAATTTGAGATTTCAGCGATTTCTGGTGGACCTGATCAGCCCGTATTTGGGCCAAACTGCAGGCGAAGCAGCTGTGGCGCGTGCGCTTCGTGCGCGCGTGCGTTGGGGGGGGGGGGGGGGGTGTCCGGTAGGCCAGCAGCTTGGATCCAATTGCACACATCTTGACTCATAGACTTCCAGAGTCGCCCACAGAGCACGGGCTTCCGAAACATGCTTTGAATAAGGACGTGTGTGCGTTGGTTGTGTGTGTGTGTGTCTGTCAGTCTTTCTGTCTGGCTGTCTGTGTGTGTGTGTGTTTGAGGGTACGCTTTTTGGAGTTGTTTTAAAAGGAAACAGGGGGAGGAATTGCCCCATTTCATTGTGCTTGTCCCTTGCCCCAACCTTGGCGGGAATGGTGGACACACCCAGGCGAACGGGGATCTTCAGAACCCCGTTAAGCAGCCCAAAGCGAACGGGTTTTTCAGCGAGCCTCTAAAACTGACCAAGCCCGAAGGGAAGTAGAAAATTGTTTGGCTCCACGGCTTCTTCTGGCTTTCCACCCGCCGCACCCTCAAAGTTGGGATCGATCGCGGCGTTTTCTGGCAGTGGGTCAACACCGTTGTGGTATCGATCCCACTTTTGGTTGGGTGAATTCACCACCCATTTGAGGCTTCCTATTTTAGTGGTTGGATTTTTCATCGGATGTTCGCTGGGGGCTAACCGATTTGGGTTTTGCTTTATGGCCAACTCCCGAGGCCAAGGCCATGGAGTCGCCAGAAGTCCTCCACAGGCACGTCCTGACTGAAGCAGTCGAAGTTCGCAACATAGGCCGGGCCTCCAGCGGGGCGAGCGCCGAAGCTTGGGGTGGCCACTCGACGCCTCTGACCCAAAATCAGACACGGTCGGCCCCAGGGAACGGCTACAAAAGCTGGGCATGCGACTTCGGGCCCTTGCTTGAAAGTAGGTTTGGTCAGCTGGTTTGATCTGATTTGGTTGGTAGTTCGAGGCTTTCCCATTTACCCTCAGAAGCCAGCCGTTCAAATGGGCGTGGGTCAAAATTAGGCCACCATGGACCGCAGGTTTCAGCCCAGGTCTCCATGTACTAAGGTTCTATTTTCGGGGGGGGACCCACAGCGCTACTTACTAAGGCTCCATTTTGGGGGGTTCCATTTACTAAGGCTCCATTTTGGGGTTACCCTATTTTTGACCCACAGCCAAATCTCCAATCACCCGGTCCAGCTTTGGGGGGTGTCTGAGGGACACCTGGCATGGAGCCATCAGCTCCCATCAGCTCCCCCCGTCCTGGCTGCAAGTTCTCAGCCCCGGGGGCTGCGAGCTCGCACTCTTCATACTCGTGCAGGCCTCGAAGGAGAAAAAAAAAAAAAGGAGCTTTCCACGCAGGTCCACCACCCCCACCCAATTACATATATATATATATATATGTGTGTGTATATACAATATCTGCGTGTGTATGTATATATATATATACGCAACCCCCTTCAAGGACCTTGGTTTTGGTGCCCTTTGGTGATGATAAATTTAGACATGTTCATTCTCGAAATGTCCAATTTGGGGCCCCAAAAGCCTCATGATTTGGAGCCCGGAGTTCCGAAATGTCCTAATATGCGATCCTTTCAAAATAGGATTTCACTTCGACTAGAATTCAGAATTTTTACTATAACTTGGTAAGGATATAGTTTTCGACCATGTGTTTTATGCTCAAATATCACTTAAATACACAATTTCTTTCAAAAAGGAATTACATCAAGATGTAAATATAAATTCGGGCAAAATCTAAACAATCTTGAGCAACAAAAATAGATGAGTTTATTGCCAGGTATAATTTGACTGTTAAATATAGCCTGATACAAACAAAACTCAATTGGCTTTTGATAACAAATAAATAGAGACTAATTCTCAAATATCATTCATATTAAACATCGCTAAACCTACAAGGAACTTCAAAATACGACTTGTGTTATTTACACTATGTCCCTTCTGTAGAATAAGAAAGGTGCGAAATTAAACTTGTTAGACGGTGTTCCAAAATTGAGATTTCAAGGGATTAGAGGTTCAAATTCCAAAACTATCTCGAAACAGGGATTCTGGCCAAATCAGTTGAATTTGAAGTCTTTGGACAGGAACTCATAAGCTATTCTATCTCAAAAAGCGGAGGTAGATGAGAAGAGGTGGACAGGGAGTTCAGGAAAAGGTGACTGTGGTTGAACATATATATATATATATATATACACATATACAAACATCTAGTATTTTCATGATCCTGCACCTCTTCGTAGAATGCTGTAATCGCTTTCAGCATTACACCCAGCTTGCCTCCTGGAAAAGGGTCAACATGAGCATAGCTTACATGAAGCATAACGCTCACCAAAAGCACTTGAAAGTTTGTCTAGGAACTGGAAAGTGTTTCAACTGGATCGCGAAGCACTTGAAAGTATTTTACCACTGGACTGAATCAAAGCCAAACAACATTCAAGTTATTCTAGCATTTGAAAGTGCTTTACCACTGGATTGAGGATTCACAATTGAAGATTGCACAGACCACTTTCCTGAGAATCGTTAATCCTGGCCAACCATGACAAACTGTCAAGTTGTTCTAGAACCTCAAATGTGTTTCACTGCAAGCTTTTTCCGAGAATCTTGTCGTCTCACTTTGAATCCAACCATTGAGGGAACTTGGAGGGTTGCAGATTAAATGACCGCAAATGGGTGCGCACACTTGCTTGCAGAAGTATGTGTTGAACAGCTAAAATATCGGGACAACCCTGGATTTTTAAAAGAATGTCAAACAAACAAAAAGGATTTAAGATTCAAGATTCCCAAACACAATTTTCTCAGATTCTTGAATCTTGAATCCCAGATTTGTTTAACATTCTTTCAAAATTCCAGAGTTGTCCCAATACTCTGAGATGCATGTGCACTCTGTCAGATGGCAGATGTTGAAATCATTTATTACATTGTATGTGCATATATGTATATATATATGGTCACCCCCCCATGATCTACCTTTTCTTATTGAATTATTCTTAACTACTTCATGTGTATATCTATATATATATGCAAATGTGCATATATATATATAGAGATAATCCATATACATATATATCTGTATATATTATCTGTATATGTGTACATATGTCTGTATATATATATATATATATACATCGCAAGCCCGTCCAAACCCTCTGGCATCCCCTTCACAAAGCTTGCTTCGCACCTACAATCGCCGTGGCTTGCGACCTGAGGCGGCCGCTGGACGTCACCACTCGGCATGGCCCCACGGCGGATGAGCCGCCGGCGGAACGGCGGAAGAGGCCGTTGCAGTGGCCGCGCACCCAAATGTGAGTGGCATCCAGGCACCTGCCACATTTTAACGCAAGGCGCAGATGGCTTTTTGCTTTTGTTTTCCATAGAATGCACATCTTCGCGAGGCGCAGAAAATCTTTGTTTTTGTTCCCCATAGAATGCGAAGTGTGCAGATCCTGTCCATGTCCAGATCAAGTCCCTCCCCACTTACTGCAGCGGATCACAAAATTTGCTCCCCCAAAGCACCGATTCCCTCGGAGTCTCTTGACAAGCCCATGCTGTCCCTACGCCATGTTATCGAGGGAGCGTCAAAAGGCCAGGTCAATCTAGGAGAAGCTGATTTACAGTCGTCCTAGTTGTCAAACATGCGTAAAACCTAGCAGTGTGCCATATGCCATTTTTGAGCCAGAGATGTGCCTGTGAACACATAACAGCAGGGATGTTTTTGAACTACCACCTTGTGAGCGCACAGCTGACTCTTGCTGGTTTTCATACATACCAGCCTTCATAGAGCCACATGCAATTGGTCCTCTGTGCTTCCTCGTTCATGCAACTTCATGCGATTGTTTCTGTGCACATTGCTTCTCCGGATCTGATCTTTTCGCTCTGATTTCGCTGCACGCCAAGAACGCCCCGTTTGGCCTTGCTTCAAGACCTCCCCACTAAACCCTCGTCACCCCCGTTCAGTGGTGGGTGAAAGGGAAACAACCGATTCCATTTTAACTGACTTTGATACCTCCAAAAACTGTTAAAAAAAATGACCCCTCACTAAACCCAGAAAAAAATCCCCACTGAACCCAGAAAAACTCCCCACTGAACCCCAGGGATTCCCCACTGAACCCCAAAAATTCCCCACTTCACCCCACGCAACCGGCGCATGCGCCCGAAGGTGAGGCCCGGCTCGCAGTAGTCGCTGGGCTCCACCGGCTCGAGGGCGCAGCCTGAGCCGAAGGTGGAGCCGGGAGGAGCCGACACATCGGATGCTACGTGGTTTGCCTCCGTGGGTCACAGCAGGGAATACAAAATATTTATATATATATATATATATATGTATGTATATATGTATATGTCTATATATATATATATATCCGGCTCAAGTAGCTCTTTAGCTCCCTCTATCTAAGGGAATATTATATATATATATATGTATGTATATATGTATATATATATATATGTATATATATATATATATATATCCGGCTCAAGTAGCTCTTTAGCTCCCTCTATCTAAGGGTATATTTTTGTTCTATATGTATGTATGTATGTATATTTATATTTATATTGCGTTTGAACTCTGTTGAACACCAAGAAAAAGGCCAGGTGTTCTTGGCTCCAGACATTTGGCCATGGGTCAAAACCCAAATCGTACCCCCAGTGAACATCCCAATCCCACCACTAAAATAGGAAGCCGAAAATGGGTGGTGCACCAACCCAAAAAGAAATCCCATTGGTTTGGCACCATGGCCACATGGACGAGCAAGCAGAGTACCGAAACATACGACTCAACCAAGTTGCGGCAAATGTTGGAAGGTCTGAAGGCTTGTGGCAAATGTTGGATATATCTCAATGCGAGCTTGAGCCGAAGTCGGCCGACCCACAGGGTAGGCAAACAGCCACTTGTCCAAAAACCAGTTGTCCATCTGTTGTTGTTTGCGCTCATGGTGCGCTAACGAA